CTGAGAACAATTTGAAAATAAAAGTATATAAAGTTGTATTGGATTTTAACCCAAAGTGCAGTATAAATACCATGAGTCCATACTGAGAAAAATTAATGATTTCTTAATTCCACAAACAAGGATAGACAACTCTCCCACAGAGAAAAATTCCAGTTTATGCAGACACTCCCACTTCTAGAAAGTGGAGTCTAACTCCCTACCCCTGAAGCCATGGACCATACATCGTGACTTTCTTCCAAAGAGGACAGATGGAAAGGGGACATAAAACAATCACTTTATCACAGAGACACCTGACAAGCACTACCTCAGCCACATGATCAATGAGAGCATCACCAATGATGAATTGTACCAATAGAATACACACTTGCTATGCTGTGATGAGAATGGGATTTTACATCTGTAATATTCCTCCCCCAAACTCGTAATCCCAGACTAGTCATGAGTAAAATATCAGACAAATCTCCCAATCAAGGGACATTGTTCAAAACATCTACTGAGTACTCCTCAAAACTGTCAAGATCATCCAAAACACAGAACTGTGAAAGCTAAGAGGAACCCAAGGAGACATTACAACTAAATGTTAGGGTGATTTCCTGGCCAGGATCCTGGAGCGGGTAAAACCTATAGAAATCTGAGTAAAGTGTGGGCTTCAGTTGACAATAAATAATGCATCAATACTTCCTCATTAATTGTAATAAATGTATCATATTAATGTAAGATATTAGGAATAGGGGAAGCTGGGAGAGGGCATATGAGAATTCCACTATTTTCACAAATATTATTCAAATCTTAAAGGATTACAAAGGAAAAGGTCAAAATAAAATCTATTGACAGTTTCAAAATAAAAGACACAAGGAAACTTACGGCAAAACATGCTGAGTATGTTAAAAAAGGAAATAGAAAGGAAACCAAGCACAAGCACACGGAACTTGTAGGTGTGAAACAACCCTTCCTAAATTATCTTCAGCTTTTCCTCTCCCTTAACCTTCAGTCTCATATAATAAACTAACCAGGCCTCTTCCACCACAGAAACATCTCTGGATCCAATTTTTCTCAAGCCCCACAAACACTGCCCTTATCCAAACTCATAGATGTTTTCCCTGGATATGACAAGAGCCACCGATCGAGGCCAGGTGTAGACCTAGAACCCTGTATTGCTCAAAAACCACTTTAAGACGTCTGCCAGTGTTATTTGCCACAGATGTCTGACAAGTGCCAGGCAGGGGTCAGTGTCTTGACAAAGAAACAAGGGTCCAGAGCAAAACTTAAGCTGTGCATATGTGTGTACGTGCTTAGTCGCTCAGTATGTTCGACTCTTTGTGACCCCACAGACTGTAGCCCACCCACGCCCTTGGGCTCCGGTCCATGGGATTTCCCAGGCAAGAATACCGGAGTGGGATGCCATTTCCTCCTCCAGAGTATCTTCTCACCCAGGGATCGAACCTGTGTTTCCCACATTGCAGTTGACTATTTAACACTGAGCCTCCAGGGAAGCCATGAGGAAACACAGGGACTTCTCAGAGGAGCAGAACATTCACTGAGAATCCTTAAGCCAGGGGAGTTGCCTCTCCCATCGGTGATGCCCTAGGCAAGATCAGCTTGGGAACAGTGTGGTGTGTTTTCACAGAGAGGCGGCTGCTGAAGATGCTGGATCCTGAAAATGACCTCCAGATAAGTCGGTGGGGGCAGGGGGCAGTTTGGGCCTCCTAGCAGCCAAAGGCCTGAGGTTCTTAGGTACCCAGAGCAAGATCCCACCCACACCTAACAGTCATATCCAATAAGGGGTATGAGGAGTACCTGTTATGATGGCTGTCACATGTCCATCCTGGAGTGCCCCCCCCCCCGGGGGCTGTGGTCCCGGCCTTGGCCTCAGAGCACAGATGATCTCATGGAGGCCAGGGCGGCAGCTCACCTGCAGCAGCATCTCCTCCCCACTCCCTCTCCTGACTAGCCCTGGGCAGGTCAGATGGGATCTCCAGGGGCTTGCTGCTTCCACCTCTCTGGGGCAGCCGACTCTCTTTGCAGCCTGCACTCCTGGGACCACAGTGTCCTCTCCTGCCTGGTTCCTTTCCAAATCCTCGTTTGAGTCTGGAGCCTCTGGCACCTAGGAGGGCATCCTGGGTACCACCCCTGCCATCTGCTAGAGCCTGTCCTCTGTTCAAACAGTCCGACTGGCTCCTAGTTGGCTCTGCGGGTGGCTGACTAGACACCCCTCTGCCTCTCATACTCAACCTCGAAAGCCATGACCTTACAGTCACATTTAGAAGACGCTGAGTTTTCTCCAACACGTGGGATTCCACAGGGAATGGTCTGATACACCTCAGGATCATAGAGATGTGCCCCATGCATCCGTGGCAATGATTACTACTGAGCGTCCACAGGGAGAGTCAAGTCCTGCCAGCTCCACCTTTAGCACCGTGGAAGGGGACGCTGCTCTGGGACTTCCAGATAAAGATACACACATGAGGTCATCAGGATCAGGGCCTAAGCCACTCTCAGTGGGGGGGGCAGGTAGGACAAAACCCAAGGCCAGGTTCTGAGGGAGTGGAGGCACTGTGGGCAGCAGGGGTGTGTCGGGGGAGGGGTGTGGCTTGTGGCTGGGGCCCATGAGAAGGATGTGAAGGATGCGCCCAACTCCAACAGGGACCTTTGACAGCTGGTTGCTGTCCTTCTGATGGAGACCGAGCAGAACCCCGAGGGGACTCACAGTGCAGCTCAGCGGGGGTGGGGGCACGCTGTGGGTTGGGGGTGCGTGGAATTCCTGTAGCCAGCTCCCTGTGGGCAGCCTCTCTCAAGGGTCAGAGGACTTTAGTCTCTGGAAGAAAAACCTCACTCGGAGTGGTCTGTGTCTTAGTGTTGTCCTGATTTGAGGATTAACTCCCAGGTGCCTGTGTCCCTTCAAAACAAATGGTCATGACAAAAATGCTTCTTCTCAAAGTTCACTGATCACGGGTCATCACATCACCCTTCCTAAGTGAAGAGGCCTGGCAGGCTCATGTCCCCATGTGTGCAGGGAGAGAGGAAGACAAGAGGTGGTGGAGCACCTAACATCTCTCCAATTCCACACTGCCTAACAGATGCTCAACAAAGAGCAGCAGTCAGAATTTATAATGACAAAATCTCAAAAAAAAAAAAAAAAAGACAAAATCTCCTATGTTTTGGGGAAGAGAGTCTGAGCAGGTCACATGGGTCTTGAAATTCTCCACCTTTTCCAAGTGTCCATTGACTATGTGGCAGTGACCACATGTGTGGCCAGAATCACATCTCCTGTTCCTATTGTTCTCTGGCACTCAGCATGGAGAGCTGCCCCTTCAGCCCCTTGCACCCACACGCACACCCCACTGCAGTGACCTCACCACCTCCTTAGGCCCAGAACTCACTCCTGTCATTTGATGCCAGGCACAGCCTTAGCCTGTGAGTCTCTGCTGTCTCCACACTTCTGAACTTGCATGAACCCGGGGACGCTGGTGGATGTTGCATCTTTCCTGGCTAGCACTTATTTCTTGTGTTATTCGGATCTCAGACTCTGTCCCTCTCTCCTCTGGAAATAGCTTTGTTTTCAAGACACCTCATAGGATTGCCAGCTCAATAGGAAACGGAATAGAAAACCAGTCAAAATTGCGGCTCTGTGTGTTTTCCTCCTAGAGGTTATATTATTCAATTTGGCTGTTAGTGTGTGTTTGAGGGGGTCGAAACAGTGTCTTTCCTGGCTGGGAATCAAAGTTCCCAGGATCCAGTCACCCAGCAGGATTTCCCCACATTCACTCATTTCATCCCTCTGAAATCTAGACCATGCTCACAAGTGGCCAAAATAAAGTCCAGATGACCAAGTCAGTGCTCATTTCAATATATTGGTAATCAGCTTTCCCAGGACAGAGAGAAGAGGGCCAACCCAGGGAATACTTGGCCATACTTCAAAGCAACATTCACCTTTCTCCAGGATTCTGAGCAGATGGTGGGGCAGTGGTAGAAAACACCTCCTTTGCCCCTGTGGTCAACAGCAATGCAACAACTGTCAGGACCCCTTCCTTTCCACCCCAGCAAGAGATCTCTCTGTGTTTTATCCAAGATGCAAAAGCACACCTCACACCAATGATTCATTTCAGACTTTCCTGTCACCCCCAAGATACACTGTCGGCAGGTCTGAGGGATGCCATCATGCAGCCTCATCACGATGACCTCCCACAGAAGGAACCCAGCTTCCCAAAGCCCCAGAACACTCTGGCTCAGACACTGACATTCCAGGGCTCCTCCTGGAGCCTCACCGCCCTGGCCCATGCTGCCTTGTTTAGTGTGACTAGGGGACTTCTCTCCACCCTCTTTGTGTGACTAGGGCTACTAGAGCATCGCTCTAGGTGCAGGGGTGTCCTGCTTCTCCTAGTGTCCCCACTACAAACCCAGCCTTTCACAGAGCAGAGGCTCCGTAAAGGTCTTTGGAATACACGAGCCAGTGAGCAGGGGGCTCAATTAATTATCTGCTACTTCCTTAAATAACCCAGGCAAACCCAAATGCACAAGAGATAATTTAGTTTTTGAAAATGACACACAAGAAGGGCAGAAGCATGAATTCTCTACAATTGTTTTTATCATCTAGTTCATCCCCCATCAATGTTACTGCTAAGTAAGCTCACTTTTCCAAAACAGTTCTAATTCCAATTCCATTGCATTCTGTTCAGGACCACAAAACACAATGGAAGAGTTTCCAATATCTTTTACAAAACAGCAAAACTCTTGTTCATGAATTGGATAAGCACAAACGCACTGTGATCAGCATCATTCGTGAAGCTAAGTCACTGACGTTTATTTAGTCTTCTATGAAAACAAGCAAAGTTTGAATTTTTTCTAAGGAAAACAGGTGAATCTCCAAGTCATTATAGAGAACAGGAACCCAAAGATGCTATACACTGGTTCCCCAAAGTGCCCCAGGGCCTCACTTCTGAGAAGGCTGACTGCTCCGTCTTCAATCACAGAGGGAAGGATCACCTGGATCCTGCTCTGGCTCAGGCAGCCTCATCCTCCTCCCTTGCAGCCTCTGCAGACAGGGGTGGGAAGGCCCTCGAAGCCCTTTCTTTGATCCTGAGCAGAAATGCCATGACTTTCCGCTTGCTGGTCTCCGCATAGGCCCGGGGACCCCACAGGAACTCATAGCGAGCAGGGTAGCTGTAAGGCACCTGCCGGTACTCCAGGTACCCCTCCTGCACCCACACGTGTGTCAGAAGTGTCCTGGGCTCCCCAAAGACACAGTGCACACTCCCGACACACACACCCAATCTGCTGAGTGCTCCCCAGACCTTCTCCTCAGGGGCGCGGTCTCCATTCTGCATGATCAGGCTGAGGATCAGCACCAGGAGGCCGGCCTTGGGCATGCTCTGCCCACTGCTCAGCATCACATCACAGGTGAGGCCCAGGTTGGGGACCATGATGTAGATGTGCTCCCTGGGGTCCACCTCCTTCACCTCCACACCACAGACCAGCTCCAGGCAATGCGAGGCTTGGCTGAAGACCACCGGGAAGTGCTCCTGGTTATCCCTGAGGACCTTCTTCAGTATTTCCGCCTGGGAGGTCAGCTCCTTAGCTAGATACTTGAAGAGCAGGAACTTTATCAGGTTAGCTTTCATCTCCTTCAGAGCCTCCGGGGGCAAGAACTCCCCAGTGGCTACGGAGGACACTGTGAGGGAGGAGGCTGAGGCGGATGCAGCCACCTCTGCCTCAGCCCCCAAGAGCTGCACAATTCACTGGGCACTGGGCCTCGCCAGGGTCCTGAAAGTCTTCCTCGGGCTTGCTCAGCTCACTCATCTCGACCACGAGCACGATGCCTGGGATCAAACCACAGACAGGAGTGAGGCAGGAGAATAGATGGGGATCACGGGCCAGGCTAGGGGAGAGAGGGGCTGTGACTGGCCTCAGCTGAGAACCACACCCTGGGCGGTCTCACACAGGCCACTTACAGGTCTCCTTTTGAGGGGTGCTCTCAGACCTCACAGGGGCAAGCCTCCAGGGCAGCCAGTCCACTGGCTACCTGAAGGAGGAAGTGAGGTGTCTCCCCATGGTGCAGTCAGCACAGTCTGACATTTCCAGGGCTGACAAGGTGGGGGATTAGGCCCTTGTGGGGTCCCCTCTGCTCTGGGATGGGGAGCTCCTGGTGCACACTCAGGGCACCCTCCTCACCTTGACTCCTGGGACTGCCTGGACCACCTCTGCCCTCTGACCTCAGGACTGGAGCCTCAGTCCTCTGCCTTCCTCTCCTGGTTCCTGGAGTCCTGTGAGAGAAAGGGAGGGGGCAGCTCTGCGGTATCCTGTGGCACAGCCCTGAGCCTTCCATGACAGTATGAGGGGTAGACTCTGCGAGGTCCCCCAAGTTGTGTGGTAGGAGGTCCCCTCACGGCTCCCTTGTAGTGCTCACCTTTCCCCTGGCACGGCCTGGTCCCTCCCCTATGGGGACCTGCATGGAAATTCTGAACAAGGTCCGAGCCTGAACAGAAAGCGCTAAGGGGCTCCACATGCAGCAGCCGCACCTACCTAGGGTTTCCTGTGGGTCCTAGGCTGGGGAGATGCTCAGTCCTCAACTCCTCCTCACGTCCTGCCTTGTCCTCCCAGCACTGACCACAGGGGCGGGGGTCTCCTCAGTCCCCCCTCGGGTTTGGGGAGTCCAGCCTCTGCCGACCTGAAGTCTCCACCCTCCGCCGGAAAAACCTCACCTCCCAAGGTCCCTAAGCCAGAGGCCAAGAATCTGCTCGCCCCGCTCTAGGGCCCCCAAGAGTCCACACAAGGGCCAGGATCCCTGTCTCCCTGTTGGGGTCTTTCTGCCTCTTTCCATCCTCAAATGCAGCCTGGACTCCAGGCAGGACCGCGGACTGTCCTGGACTGTTCCGTCCGCCATTTTGAGACCGTGCCGCTTTCACGAGATCCCCCGTCTCTCTGAGACCAGCATGTGAGGAAGGCAGACAGGCAGTGTGCTCTTCTTACCCCAAGCTCTCCCAGGATCGACTACAGGGGCGGGGATCTGTGGGGTTCCGTCGGTCCTCACGCAGGGTCCCCTCAGCCCTCCTTCAGGCACCTCGCCTTGCCTCTGAGCAGGACCCGGGATTCTCGGCTCTCCCCAACTGAAGCCCCGCCCCTTATACCAGGGCCCGGTCTCTCCAAGACCCGGATGTCAGGAAGTCAGACCGTGCCTGCTGCGCTCATTCTACCCCCACGGTTGCCCTGGACTGACAACAGAAACGAGCTTCTCTGAGGTGTCCTGTGATTGCAGTCCAAGGTCCTCTAGTTCTCCTCCTCAGGGTCCTCAACCTGACACCCCGCCAGACCTGGGAATTGGACCACCTGAGGCCCTACCCATATCCAAGGTACCCAGTCTGAGACCCGGATGTCAGAGAGTGAGACCACGCACCTTGGGCTCATCCTACCCCACTACCACCAAGGACCAACAGCAGCTACAGGCTTCTCTGAGGTCTCTTTTGATTGGGGTCAGAGTCCCCTCAGTCCTCCCTCAGAGTCCCCAAATTGAAACTCCGCAGGAGCTGGGCTTCTTCCCTCTGCTCACTTGAGGACACGCGCCCTTCTCCCAGGTCCCCAGTTTCTCTGAGACCTGGATGCTAGGTAATGTAGCATGTGCTCATCCACCCTCTGTGCTCCCTGAGCCTTGATGTGAGGGTCCCACCTCTGGTCAACATAGGGGGCCTCCCCGGATCTGCCAGGGCTCAAGATGAGGTCCCTGAGGGAGATTATAAGGAACCCCACAGATGCCTACCCCTGCTGTCAGCCCTGAGCCACCCTGCTGGTGGGATGAGCACTTGGCAGCCTGTTCTGACTTCCGCATCTGTGTCTCAGATACATTAGGCAACTGTCAGAAGGGGCAGGGCCTCAACTGGGCAGAGGGGAAGATCTTAGTTCTTTGGAGGGTCAAGGTGAGGATGCTGAGGGAGGACTGAGGGGACCCTGAACCCCAGAGCAGAGTGGGCTCTGGGAGGACATAGGGTGGATGAACATATGCTGCATTTCCTGACATCCAGGTCTCAGAGAGACTAGGGACCTGGTATAGGGGGCTGACTTCCTGACATCCAATCTCAAACTGGGGACCTGGTGTAGGCAGCTGACTTCCTAACATACGGGGTTCAGACTGGGGTCCTGATATAGGGAGCAGACTTCCTGACATCTGGTTCTCAGGGCGACTGGAGTTCTGGTTTAAGGGCTGGGGGCTTAGTAGGGGAGAGGAGAGAATCCGAAGACCTACCCAGAGACAAGATGAGGTCCTTGAGCAGGAATGAAGAGACCCCACAGATTCCCGCCTCTGTCGTCAGCCCTGGGAGCCCCTGGGGTGAGAAGAACACACTAGACCTGTCCTGACTTCCTGACACCCTGGTCTCTGAGAGACTGGGGACCTGGTGTGAGGAGCAGGGACTCAGGGGCGGAGAGGACAGAGCCCAAGTGACTCGGTTTTTCCCATCAGGTGACCAGCTTTAGCATCAGTCCTTCCAGTGCATATTCACAGTTGATTTCCTTTAGGATGGGCTGGCTTGACCTCCTTGCTGTCCGGGGTACTTTCAAGAGTCTTCCCCAGCACCACAGTAGTACCATTTTATACATAGTCTTGTGTATCTGTTAATCTCAACCTCCTAATTTATCCCTTCCCCTGCTTTTCCTCTTTGGTAACCATAAATTTGTTCTCTGAGTCTGTTTCTGCTTTGTAAATAATTTCTTTTGTAGCATCTTTTTAGATTCCACATATAAGCGATACCATACAATATTTGTCTTTCTCTTTCTGCCTGACTTCTCTTAATATGATAATCTCTAGGTCCATTTATGTTGCTACAGATGGCATCACTTCATTATTTTCCATGGCTGAGAAGGATTCCTGTGTGTGTGTGTGTGTGTGTGTGTGCACAAACCACATCTTCTTTCTTCTTTATCTAATCATCCACTGATGGACATTTGGGTTCCTCCATATCTTGTCTGCTGTAAATAGTGTTGCAATGAACATTGGGGTGCATGTATATTTTCATATTAGAGTTTCTGTCTTTTCCAGGTATATATTTAGGAGTGGGATTGTTGGATCATCTGGTAGTTCTGTTTGTAGTTGTTTAAGGATCCTCCATACGGTTCTCCCTATTGACTGTACCAATTTACACTGTTCACCAACAGTGTACAAAGGTTCCCTTTTCTCTGCACCCTCTCCAGCATTTATTCTTCATAGGTTTTTATGATGATGGCCATTCTGATCAGTGTAAGGTGATATTTCATTGGAGTGTTGATTTGTATTTGAATATTAATTAGGAGTGTTGAGCTTCTTTTCATGTGCCTGTTGGCCATCTGTGTCGTCTTTTAAGAAAGGGTCTTCTTTGGAGAAAGGGTTTTGTGTCAGGGTCACACAGGCTGGGTGGCTCAAACTACGAACCGTGTTGGTTCAGGAGGCCAGCAACTGAGGTCAAGGTGTTGACTGATGCTGGTTCTCATGATGGAGGTGGAGGGTCTGTCCCATTTCTCCCCCCTCACTTCGGCGGCTTTGCTGGCCATGGTGGCCGTGTCTGGGCTTGGAGAGCTCCACCTTCCTCTTCACCTGGAGTTCGCCTCTGTGTCTGTCTGTCTCTAAATGTGTCCTTTGTATGGAGACAGCCGTCCTGTTAGAGGAGGTTCCATCTGCATGAGCTCACTTGACCACCGTCAGCTCTGAGAAGACCTTTCCTTTGTCTGTAAGGTCACGCCGAGGTACTTGGGGTTGAGACTCCAGCACCTGACTCTGAGGGGACGCGATGTTACTCCTCACACCCTACAAAGGCTCTAAAGTAAGAACACACTGGATTGTTCTAAGGATGAAAGGACGGCCTGTGTAGCTACTGGGGGTGAATCCAGGGGTGAGGAGAGCAGGCCACTAGGGTAGGAGCCAGATCAGGTGGGGCCTTGTGGGCCTGTGAGAACTGTGGCTTTGCTGTGTTCGGGGAAGGAAAGGTCCGGAAGGCCCTGAGCTGGGTGCCTCTGGGACTTTGTCCCCATCATCACAGAAACATGGAAACGGAGGCTCCCTGCTAGGTGCTGAGATGCTGTTGATGTTCAGGCCCATGGCTCTGCTCCTCTGCCTCCACCCCCCTCGAATAAACAGGGAACCCTAACCAGGTACAAGGAAATAAGTGAGAATGGAGGGGCGAGTGGTCAGGTCCCTTGCAGTCATGGGCTATCTCTCTATCCCTCGGTTCCTCCTCAGTGGTCAAATGAGGTGACAGTAACCTAGCGGGTTATTTGAGGTTTGAATTCTGTGATCCTTGCATGGTGCCATCCCAGGCCCTGGCAAGGACATGACCGTCCCAGTAGTTTCTGCTCTCTGTTCTACTCTAGGCTCTGGGCAGGGACCAGGGCATCTGCTGACAGTGGAGGCCATGGTGTGAGAAGGGATGGGAGTAAGGTGGCTCCCAAAGGTGAAGACACCCGGGAAAGATACCTGGCAGGGCGTCTGAGGTCCAGGGCAGCCCCAGGGTCGAGGCCAGATTGGTTAGCACAGATCTGCACTCAGCAGCCCTGGTCTAAGATGGGGGGATCTGCAGAGCATGGGCAGTGATGGGGCCAGGGAGCTGAGGGGTGAGGTGGGGCCCAGTGTTGGGGGAAACCAAGCGCAGGACTGTCCCTGTCTGTGCTGGGAGAGGACCAGAGCCCAGCCACTGGGCTGTGAAGCCAGGGGACCCACCCTCCCTCCTGAGTGCTCCCAGGGTTTCAACTCCCTCTTTCTTCAAACTCACCTCATGCCTCTCTCCCGCTGTCCCGCCCTCCTTCCTGACCTCCCCACAGACTGCATGTGATGGACGGGTCCTCTGGCTCGCCAACCCCTGTCAACAGACAGTGTGGAGATGGGTGGAAGGAGTCAGCCCTCTGTGACCCTCCCCTCTGTGTCAGCAGGCTTGGAGGATGCTCAGACACGTGGGGCTGATGTCCGGCCCAGGGCTGTGAGCTTGCAGGCCGCTGTGTCAGGCTGCTGGCCCTTGTGGATCTGTGTTTCCACAGCCACGTGAGGCCCTGGGAGCCCTGGGAGATGAAGTTCAGTTGTCTGTCCTTCTGAAAGACTTATCCAGGTTTCTTCTCAAATGATGTCAAGAACCTGGAAACGTGGTCTGTGGCCTGTGCTATGCGGACCTGGCACTGTACCCTGACCATCCACATCAGGCAGCAGACTGGGAAGACGCGGTCTCGTGGGAGCTCCTGGAGCAGAGGCTGAGGATGAGCCCCGCCCAGATCCAGGTCTGCATGTGGCACTTGTCTCTGTGCATGTACATATGTGTGTGTGTGTGTGTGTGTGTGTGTGTGTGTGCCCGGCAGAGAACATGAGAGGCACCACAGCACCCAGCCTGGGTTCCCCATCCCCACTGCCTGCAGCAGGGCCTGAGCAAGTCCCCTGACTCCCCAGAAGTGAGGCCCCACAGCAACACCTCTCTGCTGGTGAATCACTTGGGGACCTGATATCCACAGGCTCCCCGCCGGGGCCCTCCTGGACTGACCCTGCAGCCTGCAGTGGGCAGACTGAGAACTGCCCATGTCCTGGTGGGTTCCTGGAGCACCAGGCCTCTCCCTTTCATTTTTCTCCCTCCCTCGCTTGGCATTGCTCTGAATTCCCTTGGCCGAGGTGAGCCCGCTGAAAGGCTCAGACAGAGGATCCAGTTCACCAAGGTTCCCTTCCGTAATGTGATCTTACTCTCTAGTAGGCGTGACTTTGAATCACCTTGTTCTCCTTCTGTGTCCTGTCTTTGCACACAGATCTCGTGGACATTGGGGTCACTTTGCTGTGCCCAGAAAACCTAGGTCCTGACGAGGTGGAAGAGCTGGAGAATCAAGCCCTGCTACTCGATCTGCAACTGAAGTAATGACTGCGCTTGCTAACTCCCGGTGGCTGCCGCATCCTGTCCCGGGGAGGGCTGGGAAGGACATCTTCCAGGTGGACATCCCTGATCACCTGATCCCCTTTGGGCAGGAAGCCTGTCCAGACTAGGCTTTCAAGTGGAAGGTGACTGAGAGACCAGGTCATGGTGACACTGTCCAGTCGCCACTGTGCCCTGGACGTGCTCGTCTGGTTCGGTCTGAATTGGCCCCGCCCTGTGGTGGGCTGCCCACTTGGGGCAGGGCCGGGCCCAAGACTCCTATTGTGTGCTGCTGCCCTGGCCTCAGCGAGAGTCCCTGGGACTTTGCCCTTTATGAAAAAATGGCATCGCCACTCGTTTTGGCCCTGCTGGGTCTGGGTGGTTGTGAATGTGTTGTTAAGAAACAAGTTAGTGTTTTTCCCTCTATGTTCTGGTCCAAACTCCCCAGTTTTGGAAGTATCCAGCAGGTGATGGGGGAAGGCCAGGGGCTGGGCTGAGTGTCAGCAGCCAGCGAGGCCTCGGGCACGTGGAGAGGCCTGCAGGCCCAGAAACAGGCCGTGGTTTGTCTTTGCAGGTGACCCTTGCCTTGCTGTAAAGTGTCCCTTGGCTCACAAAGTGTGTATTTGATGCGCTGCCTGGCTATTGCACGTCCAAAGACAAGGGCTGGCATTCACCACCCTTGTACTTGACTTTGGAAACCTTGTACTTGGCTTTGCGTTTGGGGTCATGTGTTTGCAAGGCCTTTGGCTGGCGGGGTCACCCTGCTTTCCAGTAGGCCTCTTGGGGAGACCCCTGGATTGGGAGCTAGAGACTCTCAACTACTGATGAGAAACTTGTGGTATCACTGGGGGACCCAGGAGGAGCCCCTTCTGCTTTAGGGTGCATGACTCATGGAAGGTGACACCCCCAAGGTCAGGAGCCTGGCTGGGCTGTCTGCTGAGTGGCAGGCAAGGCGCAGGGACCGGCCCGTCCTGGGCTCGCCTCAGCACTCAGCTTGTGGGTCAGACCTTTGGCCGAGCGTGTGAAATGCTGCTGCTTCAGATGAAAATGGACCTTGAGGACTGGACTGAAGCTGGCCTGGGGTGTGGGCTTCCAGCCTCATATGGCTCATCCAGTGCCATGTGTGAATAGCATGGACAGACAGAAAGAACACAGACTCACAGTTCTTGTTCAATTCTTTATTTACTCCAGTGAATTTGCTTTACTTTATTGGAGCCAGAAATAGAATTTTATTACAAGGCAGTGCTCTTGAGTGTCCCTGGGGACCTGGAAGCTCAGGGATTGGGGTTGTCCTTGAACTGCTCACAGAGGGCACACTTGTAATCTGAGGACTCCTTCTCCTCGTCCACTTCAGGGGCCTCGTTTGGGGCCACAACTGAAACAGCCGCCTTCACGATGGAATAATAGGTGCTGTACATAATCATCTCATCACTGAACCATAATCTGGGTACTCTGGGAACTCTCCAGCGGTTCCCCTGTGGTGTCCCTCCCAGCAGTAGCTGGGGGTACAGGCGTGGCATTGCTGTACGTACCCTCTCCACTGGGGCCACCCTGCTCACTGGGAAGATGGTTTGCCCCGGCCTGCACAGCTACACTGCCCATAAACCAAAGGCCACAGAACACAAAAGAGTGCAGGGGGTTCTGTGAGCAGTTGGGGATCCCTTTGGGGCCTTCTTGTCAGCTTCTTGGGTGGACTCATTGTGATGGAATCGAAGAGAGTGTCTGGTCATCAACACTCGCTTCTTTCTCTTTGGAGTCATTGTTGTGCTGGTGGCGGGCTGAGCAGTTGTTATGGGGTCACCATTCCTCCAGATGTTCTGCAGGAAGAGAGGCTTGTCTCTCTGAAAGTTGGAGTTGTGATAGATCTGAAAGGAAATGGATTACTTTAGCCAATGTGGGGGAGAATAGCTATTCCTTGCCAACCTCATCCCCACCACAGCCCTGGCCTTCCCTAAGGAGGGAGACAATGTCTCTTCATTCCTGGTAGGTTATGAGGCCCTAGTGAGTGTGCTCCCTAGAGCTCCCCCGGGGCCAGCCTCACTTGAGGTATTACTGGCCATCCTTGACATCAGGTGGCCTCTCAGGGTCTGGAGGCACCCATGTGGATCCTGTCTAAGGGGGTTTGTGGAACACAAAAGGCCCTGCTTTCTTCTCTTTCCTTGACCACCCTCTCATGAGAAAAAAGTTCTCCTGGGAAACTAAACCTGTCTAGCGCTCGGCTCATCTAGTCTAGTCTCCCTGGAGGGGATTTCTTCGGTGCCATCATCCTCTTCTTCCCCACAGAGCTACCCGAAGGATGGATTTTACTGAACTCATACAGGTTCAGTTCTCAGATGAAACTGGATGCTGTCTGTCTGGAAGATCCTGTCCACAACTCTGCCCTGGAGGACCTCTGTCTGGAAGAGATCTGCCTTGATGACCACTGTGTCTCCCTTGTCGTTCTAGTACACAGAGATGAAGACCACATGCTCTACGATCATCCAGAGCTTCCTGGGGAAGGATAGCCTGAGGACAGTGTTGTTCTCTTGCTTGTTGGCTGTTTCTGGGTTCGGGCCCTGTGGGCGGCGGGTTGTATTGGGAGCCCAGATCTGGGCTCTTGCATTGGTCACCCTGCTTCGCCAAAACCTCCCCTGAATGCACATTTGCATTGTGGAGGAATCAGGGGCGTCCCCTGCTGCGGGCTCCCCATCAGTTGATGGGGCCAGCAGGGCTGCGTGTGCTTCATTGGAACTCTGACTATCCATGGAGCCAGTCTAGCTCAGGAGCATCCTCTACCCAAGCAGTGAACACTCAGGGCAGAAGGACCTCAGACCAGGGTTGGGGTGCCCCATAAATAATCTCTGGAGATTCTATAATCTGGCAGCCAATTAAGTGGTCAGCTCCCTTAATCGTTTCATGATGTCACAGAAGTAATGTGGAAAGGCAGCCCTGGCCCAGTGTGGGGGAGGGGTATTTGGGCAGAGATGGGGTCCTCAGCTTGTTTCTTGTCTGAAAGTACAGAAAAGCATGTTTCAGTTTGCCTGCAAAGGCTCTCATCTGCTGCCAGGCACCTTGTTTCAGGGGGCCAGGCCCTGGATGGGTTGACAAACGTGCCCCTGGCTCTACCCCCATCCTTACAAACAGGCAGGCCTGTGGCTGCCTTCTGTTAAAGGGCCAGGCCCTGGCAAACCCTGGCTCAGCTTCTACCAAGAGAGACCCCAGGGGTCAGATGGGCCCCTGGCGAATGGTCCCTCCCGGAAGATGGGGTCCGTAGTGAGCTGGATGGCCTAGCCTGAGTTGTTGGTCCCATTCCCCCAACCCCCATCCCCATCCTTGCCCCTCTTCGGGCTTTGGTCTCTTCCAGCTGGTGCTTCCGGTAGGTAGGTCCTGCTCAGATGGCTCCAAAGTCAGAGTCCTGTTGTCCTGCCCCCACAAACCCCAGGTCGAGCTCTCCCCAGAGTAGGGCCATGCTCGAGCACAGTGGGAATGACCTCACATTCCACTTGACTGTTCCCCCAGCACCTGAGACACAGACTCCACACGATGTCGTGTGGGAGGGCACAGCCAGGTGCTCTGCTGAACTTGCAGCCTCCTGAGTTCTGCCCATGCCCGGACATCATCCCACTGGACATTACAGGTAGTTGTCTTCAGTTTCCATTTTTTCCTATAAAGACTGCTCACATGGCCCTAGAGTGCTCACCTTGGGAACACCAAGGTGTTTGCTTTTCCCACCCCCTTCCCAGAGTCTCGGACTTGGATTCACACTCCCTGGAGGCTGCCTTGGAATCTGTTTCCTTTCATAAGTGGGGTGGTTTGGCTTCTGCTATCCCCGGCCCTGGCCTCCCATGGCCAACTTGGGTGTCATGTGGGTACATGCCCTTTGAAGGACTTGATTGGGGGCTCAAGGTACGGCCTGTTCTGTTGAAAACAAGCACTTCACTGGTCCTCTCCAAGGCCAGCTGTGATCTTCTCTGCCCCTGCCGCTGCCCCTGTCCACACCACCACTGTGGACCTCTTCTGCCTTACCCAGATGGCTGGTACATTGAATAATTTTGTTGCCTCACAGGTTAGGTGCTTTTCAAGGGGCCTCCTTTACACACACTCACTCCCAGGGTCAGTTCTGAGTTGTTGAGCTAGATGTGACCAAAGGAAGCCCCTGTCTACCTGTATTTGAAAATGGATGAGAGTATGGGTGTGGGACTGGATGAAACCCAAGTGAGAGTCGCCTGTCTTCACTACACATGAACGATAGTGCAGTGGGTTTGGAGATGCATGTTCTCAAACCTTTGTGGGCCACTTTTCTTCAAAATCACCATGTAGGGGACAGAACAGCACCTTGGAAAGGCCCACGTGTGAGGACTCTAGGGCACTGTGCCCCTAGAGATAGTTTCCCATTAGTTCTGCCCTGCAGCAGGGTCATTTGCCCTGTGTGAGGGCCACAGCCTGGTGTCTGAAAGGGGAGAGCTAAGAGGGTATGGAAGAGGCTCTCCCAGGGCATTTCAGCCTGAGGACTGGTGGCCAGAATGGAGCTTGCAGCCTCGACTTGGGCTTGCTCCGTTGCCTTTGCCCTCCTAAACAGGTTGACAAAGCATTTCTTCAGGTTGGTTCATCTGACTGGAACATGACCCTGGAGGCTGTGATTATCCGTGGAGGCTCCTGGCGGCTCCTCCGAAGGGGGCCGAAGACTGGTATCTGTGGGCAGCCTGCCTCGGTCATTCCTCGTATGGAGCCTGTACTCCAGGCAAGACCTGCAATGTCCTGTCTGCAATTTGGAGGCTCGGCTGTTTTCACCTGTCTTTCCGACAGGGATGTCAGGCAATGCAGCACGAGGTCTTCCTGCCTGGGGACTATCAGGGTTCCCTCTGGTCTCAGATCTAGCTACCCTCAGTCCTCCCTCAGGGTGTTCACCTTGACTTCTGGTAGGACCTAGGCTCTGTCCTCTCCCCATCATAGTCCCTGCTCCTCACACCATGTCCCCAGTCTCACAGACCCCGATGTCAGGAAGTCAGGACATATTTAGTATGCTCTTCTCACCCAAAGGGCTCCCAGGGCCGATAACAGGGCCTGGGACCTGTAGGGTTCCATCAGTCTGGTAAGACTTGGGGTCCCTAGAAACTTCACTCAGGGGTCCTTTCAATCTTCCCTCAGGGACCTCAACTTGTCTCTGTGTAGGACTTCGGATTCACTCCTCTCCCCTACTAATGCCCCATCCCTTATATCGGGACTCCAGTCTCTCTGAGACATGGATGTCAGGAAGTCCACTCCCTATACTAGGACACCAGTCTGAAATCCAGATATTAGGAAGTCAGACCCCTGTACCAGGTCCCCATTTTGAGGCCTGTATGTCAGGAAGTCAGCCACCTATACCAGGTTCCCCAGTCTCTCTGAGACCCAGATGTCAGGAAATGCAGCATGTGTTCCTTCCACCCTATGTCTTCCCAGAGCCCACTCTGCTCTGGGGTCCAGGGTCCCCTCAGTCCTCCCTCAGCGTCCTCACCTTGACCCTCCAAAGAACTAAGATCTTCCCCTCTGCCCATCTGAGGCACTACTTCTTCTAACAGTTGCCTCATGTCTCTGAGGTGCAGAGGCAGAAGTCAGAACAGGCTGCCAAGTGCTCATCCCACCACCAGGATCGTCCAGGCCTAACAGCAGGGTTAGGCATCTGTGAGGTTCCTTATATTCCCCCCTACAGGACCTCATCTAGAGCCCAGGCAGATCCGGGGATGCCCCTTGTGTTGACCCGAGGTGGGACCCTCACATCAAGGCTCAGGGAGCACAGAAGGTGGATGAGCTCATGCTGCATTTCCTGACATCCAAGTCTCAGAGAAACTGGGGATCTGGGAAAGGGGACGCGTCCTCAGGTGAGCAGAGGGAAGAAGCCCAGCTCCTCCAGAGTTTCAAGATGAGGACCCTGAGGGAGGACTAAGGGGACCCTGGAACCCAATCAGAGGAGAACTCAGAGAAGGCTGTAGCTGCAGTTGGTCCTTGGCGGCCCTGGGATAGGATGAGCCAAACGTGCATGGTCTGACTTCCTGACATCCAGGTCTTGGAGAGGCTGTGTCCCAGGTATAAGGGGCAGGGC